TTGCATTTTCATTCAGTCCCTTTATATGCATTGGTCTGATGAGACAAATCACGGAACAGATTTTCGCAGATATTTGTGTTGGTGAGAACAGGCCTTTATTCTGCCGTTGTGGCCAGGTCTGGTAAGAGATTACCTGTTAAATTAAAACATTTCCAATGCTTATTTTTTATCGTTTTGGTGAAAGAGAAACCTCAACATTTTGTCACAAATTCAAGTCAATGATTACAATTTTCATTTAAAGTTTTTAACAATCCTGTTTAAACCATAACTTGAGGTTTTACTTATTTCACTGACACAAATACAATGTAATATAATGTGTAGTATAATATATGTTCTTGGTTTGGTAATGCTTCAGTGTGTCAGTAGCATATTTACATAAGTGTAAATATCAAACACTGCTCAGACATAGAGATGTATATAGGTTTTTTTCATCCATAAAGAAGAGAAAACGCACATGTACACACACACAGAACATATTCACTGTCAGCATGTCACCAACAGCGCAGAAGACAAACAGGTTTTGTCACATTAGGTCTGAGTGAGATGAAACTGCTGAGTGGAAAAGGTGGGAGAGTGAAGAGGACAGCTGAGAGTTATGAGACTTGGCTGACAGGAAGAGCCTGGTTAAGTTATCAAATGTTATCAGAGAGACAGGAAATATTTCTGTCATGTTAAGAGATGAGAACACCCCCTCCCTGTTTAATTGCAGTCTATTGCAGATTAGGGTACTGCTATCAAAGAATATGGGCCTCATCATATGACTAATAGTGTATGAAAGAGAGAAATAGCTCTGCATTCTGACAGAATTTTTGCATTTTTCAGTTTGTCTACAAAATGTTACTCAGTAACTGTAATTATATTCAGCGGTTGGCCTTTTCACCCTTTGTTCAGTATGGGTAAGCTTTCATTTTTGCAAAGTTCCCTGTGGGCCTAAAACAGAATTATACAATTACAGAATTAGCAGATTATATAATGTTATATTCTTATGTAGTTTATAATATGACAAAACAAATTGAATTTGTTTTGTGCAAATTTTAATTATTGACAAGTGTCATTTAACAAAACTGAATATTATGTGGCATTTAACAGTTCAGAATTAGAATTTTTTAACTTGAATATTAAACATTTGAAATTTAAAGGGGTCATATGATGCGATTTCAATTTTTCCTTTCTCTTTGGAGTGTTACAAGACTGAATATTTTTATGGCAGAGTTTTATAGACATGCATTTTCAAACATCGAATTTTTTTTCTGAAATCTTAGACTTCAAATATCCAGTTTTTAAAAATACAGCTTCAAGTTTTCAAGATGAAGAGGAAATTCGGAACATCAAATTCAATATTCTAAAATTCAGATCGTACAGAAAGTAGGTCAGAGGTAATCCACAGGGAAGAGTAGATGATCTCTGAAATGTCAAACGAAGCATTTTGGCCAATTAGTAGTTTTCTGGTGCGAGCGTGCGGTTCAAGATCTAACTGATCATGAATCGCCCAGAGGTAGCCTAAGTGATTTTTAAACATTTATGGTTTATATACTTATATGTTAGGTTAGCATTCTCAGCATGTGAAACATTTGTCTAAGCAGTCTCTGGTGTTTGTTTTAAAGCAGTGGTTCCCAAACCTGTCCTGGAGGACCCCCTGCCCTGCACATTTTTAAAGTATATTTGGTGTGAAAGTGATTAGTGTGCCACCGTGTCTACACAGGACGCGAGCAAAAGCAAAAAAGACAGTAGAGCCCGTTGATTATAATCAGTGATATTTCCTACACTGGATGCGGCGTGGCGCAACACCGTGTCTATATGGACGCGACTGCTTGAAGCGATAAAGCGCCGTTGTGCATATGAATGGAAACCAATGGAACAAAAAATAGTACTGCCCAAGTTTGTGAAAATGTCTTCAGAAATATAGTGACAAAAACATTTGAAGCGCTCTGTATTATTTGAATAGCTCATAAATCATGTTTGATCTAGTAATGTCAACAGGTTTGTGTGAAGGTTGGGTACTGCAAATATCATTGTCTTTGTATGAAAACTATTACGTCTATTTGTGTGTGTGAAAAAGATAATGGTAGTTTAAACTGGCATTTTTACACATCAGGTTTGCTTCAACTGTGGCAGTAAACTGCTGGATCAACACTGCTGGATCTCATTCATCCACGAATGAGAGAGACTGAGGGCGAATGAGGGACGAGTAGAGAAGCAGTGAGAGGGAAGGGGAGAAAGAGAGAGAGACATCTCCCTCTGGCCAAAATGAACAAGAACTAGGCCACGCTGTACCGCACCTGAGCAAAGCCAAAACAGCTGCTGCTTCTTTTTTAACTCACCTTTAGATTTATTGAGGGAAAAAAACAACTACTGTAACTTTATTTTTACATTAGTGGCAAAGCTCAGCGTCCTCTACTCTGACCACAGTGGTGTCTGAGGAGCTGCAAGAACGTAACTTTTTGTGTGTGTGGCAGTGTGTTCAGTAGTTTAGGTTGCATCACTGTGGCTGAGCTCTTCTGGGTGTCAGATGTGGCCTTATAAAGCACACGTCTGAGCCAAATGCAGATGAATGACACAAATTGTTTCAAACAAAAGAGCCCGAGCAAATATTTGCACAAGTCTGGCATTATTTGCCACACCTCTCTGATTCCACAGAGGAAAAATCAGTTGAGGTAAAATGCATGTTTTCACTCTGTTGGGTTTAACAATGTTTGTTTTGATAGGTTTAATTCCATGTATTCTTTTGTTTTATTTGACTCTGAACTGAAGGCTTGCTTATTCCTATATAATGATCTAACAGTTTGAGTGAGTGAGAAAAAGAGAGTAGCAATTCACTAAAGACCACCAAAGGTGAATACTCACCTGTGCTGTACTAATTCAGAGCTTCATGCCTCTATGGCGCCTCTGTTGACATAATGTGTTATTGCAGCCAAACCAAAAAAGTGGGTAGGCAGTAGGTAAGCAAGAGACAGATTACTGTAAAACACTCTCCTTTTTTTGATGATTAAAGTGTATGTGTGGGCCATGCATGTGAACTTCAGAATTTCACACTATTAGCTATTCATTTGTTCATGCGTGTATGTGTGTGTGTGTGTGTGTGTGTGTGTGTGTGTATGTATGTATGTATG